CATTCATTTTCCCTTCTGATCTTTATTATCTCCATCTGCTTTAAGACCATGTTAACATTTCTTATAGTGAAGGCCAGCTGAAAATTCTTTCAGCTTTTGTAGGTCTGATAACTCTTTACCTGGTATTTAGCTCTTGTCTTTGAAAGGTATTTTCACTGGGTAAAAAATCTCAGGTGAATAGATTTTTCTTTCAGTATTTTAAAGATATTTCTCCAAACTCTACTAGACAGTTTCTTGATATCTGCAGTTATTCTTATTTTGGTTCTTTATATATAACTAGAGGCCTGGTGCATGAAATTCGTGCACAGGTAGGGTCCCTAGGCCTGGGTGGCAATCAGGCCAATGGGGACCTTCCAGCTGCTGGCCGCCGGCCGAGCCTCCCTTCATTCCGCACTGCCCCCTGGTGGTCAGCGCACATCATAGTGAGCAATTGGTCTCCCGGTCAAACTCCCATGGGGACAATTTGCATATTAGGCATATATATATATATATATATATATATATATATCCTTTTCCCTCTGATGTTTAAAAGATCTCTTTATCACTAGGTTTAAGCAACATAATGTAATATTATTCTATGTTTCTTGCATTGAGATCCTGGGATCCATAGTCTACAGTTTTCATCAACTATGGGGAAATTTTAGACATGATTTTGCCAAATAAAATTTTATATTGATGCCAGATATTGTGAATTTTACCTTGTCAGTTGGTGCATATTTTTGTATGACTAACAAAATTCTTGAAATTTGTACTGGGATACACTTGAGTTACCTAGAAGTACTTTGAACCTTTTGGTCTTGCTTTTAAGCTTTGTTAGAGATGACCAAATCAGCATTTTAGTCTAGAGGTAACTTTTTTCCACTACTGAGGCAAGACCCTTCTTAGTTCATTTATAAGGTTGAACATTGCCCCTCCCCTCCCCAAATTCATATCAACCCAGAAACTCAGAATGTGAGGGTCTTTGCAGATGTAATCAGTTAAATTGAGGTCATACTGAAGTAGAGTGTGCCCTAATCCAATGACTGGTGTCCTAATGAGTAGAGAAAACGGAGATAGACAGGATTAATGGCTGTGTGAAAACAGGGGAAACTGGTGTGGTAAGCTGCAAGGCATGTCAGGCCGTGACAACAGCAAAAGCTAGAAAGAGGTAGGGAAGGATTTTTCCTACAGCTTCAGAGTGAGCCTGCCAACACTTCATTTAAGACTTTTAGCCTCCAGGGCTGTGAGAGAATGCATTTCTGTTGTGTTAAGCCACCCTGTTTGTGATAATTTGTTACAGCAGCTCGGGGAAACTAATACCTTACTCTAATTGATGCTCACAATTGGTGAATGATAAGGCCACCACTTTGAATGTTGGGAACAGGCACTATTGAGAAATATTTTCTCCCAGCCTCTGGCAGTGTCCTCACACATATGCTGATCAGTAATCAGTGCTCAACTGAACACTGGAGGGAACGCTCTGCAGTCCTCAGAGTTCCCTCTGTGCAGCTCTCCCCTGGGCCCTCCGCCCTGCAAACTCCAGCAGCCGGGCAACCCCCCCCCACCCCCCCCACCCGCGCTAGTGCCCAGCTCCACTCCTTCAAATCAGGGAGCTCACTTTATCCAGGGTCTTGGAGCCAGAGTTTCATATAATTTGTCCTTTTGTTTGATTTTGTTCTTATTTCGTGTGGACTGATCAGTCCTAGTTACTCTATTTTGTCTAGAAATGAAGTCTCATTTAATTTTTATTGGTCTTGATGAAGAGGTTTTTCTGCTCTTTAGTAGGTAGCTCATTCATTATTTGGCTTTAAGATTTATTTTTATGGATTTTAGTTATCTGCTTTCTGTTTTATTTATTGTTTTTCTCATATATGTAAAAGTGTTTAGACATATAACATCGTTGAAAGACGTAGTAAAGCAAATTCACCTAATACACTTGATCTAATTCAACAATTACTAACATTTTTCGGGCTTGCTTTCTCCTTTCACCCCTCCTCCCTCTCTCTGACTACTAACTCATGATATTTTATTCATTGTGTTAAAATCAATTACAGTCCTTCTTCTCTTGTTGATATTCAATTGTCCAGATTGGCCGGTTGCATTTCCTTTGTTCCAACTCTGGTATGTCTCCACTGTTCTTTGAATCTTGCTTAATTACTGCCACACAACAAGTTCCAGATTCGCTTCCCACTTTCCCAGCCCAGCTCTGGAACCTACGGGGTTCCTTTTGGTAGCTTTCACAAAGCAAGCTCTGGTCACCAGGTGTCCTCATTGCTCTAAGAGAATCTGTGCTTCTATGTGCTTTCTGTGGAAAAAGCCAGTTCCGAAGTTAAAATGAAAAGTCATGAGTTTCATACTGACATGATTATTTCAAAATAATCATTACAGAGTTTTAATCATTATTACATCTTTTGCTTTTCTAAACAATGCCATGATGTACTTCCTGTAACATGGGTCTTTCTGCCCTCCCTCCCCCCTTGAGTAGAACAGACATTTAAAATTCAGAAGTACAATTGCTGGTTGAAGAATACATATATTTAACATTTTCATAAGTACTGACAAATTGCCTTCCTAAAAGGCTTCTCCAGGAGGTAGTCCCACCAACAATATATGAGGATATCAATTAACCTAATTTTCCACACTGCCATTAATACTGAGTAGTGTTATTTAACATTTGGGTATAATTTTTATTGTCAAATTAACTCGTAAGGTGTCTTATTGGATGGGGCCAACTAATAGCGTCATTCTAGAATAGTCTTTTAAGATCCCTGAATACTGACTCAGCTGGTACTGCTGTTCTCTGTAGGAAACTCTACATGGGACTCAGGGTCTCCCCATGTCCACCCAGAAGGATACGAGGATACATTCTCTCCCCCTGCAGCGTGCTCCCCAGCCTTCTGTGCTTGGACTCCCCCGAGCCTGTTTACCCACCACTGTAGTCCCCCTTCCACAGACTGGAGACTTGTCAAAACCACAGGGTCCCTGATGGCCTTCTTCCACCTTTGCAGACATTTGGCTGGGATTCTAAAGGTGGGAGGGGAGGGACACAGGGGTGTTGGGTCTGTCTCCTTGCACAGGCAGCTGTGATAGGCCATCACTATCCCCTTTTCATGATTAATCAAAATTCCTGCCCATGCGGTTAAAACACAGACATGACATTTTATGAAAATAACATATTGTTCATACTTCGAACATGATTTTTAGGAACATTTTTATGCATCAACTATTCTATAGCAACTTTAAGTGCTGCATTGTAATCCTTTGTATGAATACTTCATAATTCATGGAATCAACTCACTATTCAGACATGCAGACTGCTTCAAATTTGTTCCTAACACTGTGATGAACATCCTCATTTCACGAAAAGTGAAATGGGTGGGTTAAAGGGTATACATACATTGAAGGCCCACTTGCCAGCAAGAAAGTATACATCTTTCTCGTGTACAGCTTTTGAATTTTTATATCCATTTACACTCGTATAACCACCAACCAAATAAAAAAGATGTACAATATTTTCAATATCCCCGAAGACTCCTTTTTGCCCTCTCTTACCTGTCTCCTCCTTAGGGGTAACCACTATTCTGATTCTGCTTGTTCTTGAACTTCAAAACAATGAAATAACATATATGTTCTCTTTTGTATGTGACTTATTCATCATTACATCTGTGAGAGTAATCTACGTAACATTGTTTTTTCCTTTTAGCTGTATAGTATCCTATTACATGAGTAGATCACTCTTTATTTATTCACTAGTAGCCCTGCGCACGAATCTGTGCACCAGTAGTTTGCTGCTGCTCTCCTGTAGCTCTCTGCCTGCTGCCCTCCTGTAGTTCCCCCACCCCCCTCCCCATGCCTCCTCCCGTCATAGCTTGCTGCCCTTCCCCTTCCTGCAGCTCTCCATTGCCCACTTGTAGCTCCCTGCCCCACCCTCCTGCTGATCTGTGATTTGGTCATTACGTAGTCGGTCGTTATGTAATGACTATTTGCATATTACATCTTTATTATATAGGATTCTCTTGTCAATTGCATTTGAGTTTTCTCCAGTTTTTGACTATTATGAATAAATCTGTGAACAACCATGAAGTCTTTCATTGGATGTATATACTTATTTCTCTTGGATATATATCTGAGAACTGAATTGCTGGGTCAGAATAAGTGTATGTTTAATTTTTTTTTTTAACCAGTAAAATAAAGTTTTATTTTGTAGTTATTTCCAAAGTTGACAGACATGGGTCAGACATCCCATTTAGTTGCACTGCAGAAAATGTTCATAACCACTTCATAGAAATTACACTGTTTTTGTAAATATTTGGGATGGACACATCATTGTTCAAATATTGTAATCCACAAGCATGAACGTTTAACAGCCAGAGGCAAACAGAATGAGCTGTCAGCTAGCTATTTTACTTAAACAGGACTCTTCTGGCTGTCCCCACCTGGCCCCTCTCCTGTGAAACCAGCAGGTGGCATCCCCTCCCCTGCCCAGGTGCTCCTGTGTCCAGAGAGGCCCAATAACACAGGTGTGTTCACACCCAACAGCATCAGGGATGCAAGACTGTGGAGTGAGACATTGGTTCTCAACCCAAGAACCAGATGGAAACATCTTTATTTGACAAAGTGACGAAAGGGTTTAAGAATGTGAAGAATGTACGAAGCGAAATAAGTTATGGATGGAAACGCTGGGCTCGCCAAGTCCCTGGTGCCGGCGGGCTTTGCTGAGTGCCTCAAGGGGTCGTGTGGCCGCTGCAGGTGCTGTGGTCCCCACCGTGACACCTGTGAGGAGGCCTTCACCCCACAGGCTCCTGGGGTGAGACTAGGGCAGGAAACCTCGCCGAAGGACCAGCACATTCCCCTTTCCATCCTGGGCCAGAATGACACGTGGCGATTGAGACACTTCACCCCGCCTCCGCCTGGTCCTAGAGAAATGAGGTGACCCAGCGCAGCCTGTGGACTGGACGGAGGCACGGTCTCCGTGTTCTTGGCGGCTCCCATGCCAGAGCCGGGCACGGGTGAGGAGAGCAGGGTTTCAGGAGCGGGAGATCCTGTCCGGAGACATGAACCCTGTGTCCCCGAGGGCCGTGAGTGCCACGCAGCCGCCAGGCCGGACCACCAGGTGGGTGATGCTGCCATTGTGGAGGGAGAGGCGGAGCCAGCCTTCTGGAGGGAACTGCAGCGCCCTGCACACGATGTAGCGGGTGACGTTGGCGTGGCATAGGAAGATCTCGTAACTGTCCTGCTGCTGCTTGGCATCTGCCCGGTGGATGTAGTTCCGGAAGGCGGCCTGGATCCTGGCTCCGTCTGCATAATACTGCACCGCTTCGGCTTCCAGTGAGACTCGGGCGGGTCAGGCTCGATGGGGGCGCCTTTCCTCAGCAGGTCGGTGCTGACCATGGAGACACCTGGGAGACACCTGGCAGTGTTTGCTGATGATGTCGGTGGTTTCTACTGCGCGGGTCACGGAGGAATGGACGATTTTATTGAACTTCAACCCCAAGCTTGCAAGTCGGAGACCAGTGAGCTCAGCCTGCTCACGACCCAGGGGTGTCAGGGTGCGGTCCTTTTCCCGGGGGGCGTCCGTGTGGCGCTGGGAGTGCCCGATGAGGAAGATGTGCCGCGTGGCCTTGGCTTTGTAGTTGTCTATCCTGGACGCCACGTCCTCGTCTCCGGAGCCCGAGTTCCTCTTCCGAAGGTTGACCAGGGAGAGCGGTTCTCGCCTGTCCCAGTTGGGGTTCCAGACGCTGGGCCTGGGATGCGCGGCTCCCGCCCAGGCCTGCGGCTCCGCGTTCCTGCCTGCACGGGGCTTCCCCACCGCCATGGCCAAGAAGAGCACGGCGGCCAAGCTGCCCCCCAGGACACAGGCCGCCAGCTGCAGCGCCTGCTGAACGCCATGCCTGCCCATCCGCCGCTCCGTGCACGCGCTTTGTATGTTTAATTTTAACAAATAGGTAAAATATTCTGAAGAGGTTGTGTCAGTTTACACCCCACCAGAAATGATACTGAGTGCTTTCTCATTTACTTACTGGCCATTAGAGGATTCTCACTTGCAAAATTCTGTTTAGGTGTTTTAACCATTAAATTTTGGGGCGTTTTTCTTATGGTCTTTAAAAATATATTCTGGTAATATATTTACAGATATATGTATTACAAATATATGCTCTCCATCTCTGACATGCCTTTTCACTATCTTGATAGTGCCTTTGATAAACAGATGCTTATATTTTGACCAACTTCAGTTAATCAAATTTTCTTCTTATGGTTAGTACTTTTTTGTGTCCTACTTAGGGAATTGCTACCTACTCCAAGATCCTGAAGATATTTTCCTATTATTTTCTCACTGAAGATTTACTATTTAACCTTCTACAAATAAGACTATGAATCATTTCAAATTAATATATTTAATGGTGTGACATAAGATTTCTTATACTTTTATTCTTTTTAATTTTTAAATAGTAAAATTTAAGAAGCATATAAAATGTCTGCAGAACATAAATGTACAGGTTACCTCTTATTGTCAAATGACCATTGTACCGTCTCTCACCTACTTTTAAAGACAAAGAATATATACAGCATCCCACGCATTACCAACCCCAAGATCACAAAAATTTACTCCTATATTCTCTTTTGAGAATGGTGTCGTTTTAGATCTTCTACTGAGATCTCTGATCCATTTTGAGTTAATTTTTCTGTGTGGTGTGAGGTAGGGGTGCAAATTTATTCTTCCACATGTGTATATTCAGTTGTTTCAGCACCATTGTTGGAAATACTATTTTTTTCTCCCACTGAAGTTTATTGGCATCCTCATGGAAAATAAATGACCATAAATCTGGAGTTTATTTCTGGACTCTCAATTCTATTCCATTGTTATAAATGTCCATCACTAGTTAAGTATCACACTGTAGTGTTTACTGTAACTTAATAGTAAGCTTTGAAATTTGGATGTGTGAATTCTGTAACTATTTTTTTCAAGATTTTTTTTTTTTTACTTTTTGGGTCCCTTATATTTCCAAATGAATTTTAGGATTAGCTTGTAAATTTCTGGTGTTGGGGGAAGCCAGATGGAATTTTTGTAAGGATTGTGTTGTATCTGTAGACAATTTGAGGAGTTCTGTACTGTACAATATTAAGTGTTCTGATCAATGAACATGGGAGATTTAGAGATAGTTTTACTTCTTCCTTTCCAAACAGTTATTTTTTTCTTCCATAATTTCCTTACAATATTGATAAGAAATAATGAGAATGTACATCTTTGTCTTATTCCTGATATTGGAAAGCTTTCAGTCTTTCATCATTAAGTATGCTATTAGCCATAGGTTTTTTATAATATTTTAAATTGATTTGAGAGAGAGAGGAGAGGAAGGGGAAAGAGAGAGAGAGGTTTTTTGTTCCACATATTTATGCATACATTGGTTGATGCTTATATGGATGCTCTTTTTCAGATTCTCATTTGTTCATACATTGTTTTCCTAATTTCCTTTAGTATTTTGCCTACTTTTTTTGTAGCTCATTGAACATACTTATGTCAGTTGATTTAACATCTTTAATATTTCCAATATCTAGGAATCTTTAGGGATTGTTTCTGCCCAATATTTTCCCCTGAGAATGGGCCAAACTTTCCTATTTCTTTGTAATATATATATTTAAGAACTGGACATTTTACAGTACTATGTTGTTGAAACTCTGGAGATCTAATCCTCCCACTCCTCAGGGACTGCCAAACCTTGCTCATTGAGGGCTGTAGTCTTCTATTTGTGACTTACTAAACCATTTTTTCAAAGTGTGTGTTTGTTATACACACTGAATTTTTCTTCTGTTATCTCTATGGTCATTTAAGGGAATTACCAATAAGGAAAAACTTATGCTATTTTACTAATTGTTTTCTATATGTCTTTTTTGTTCCTCAGTCTTCATTACTGCCTATTTTCTTTTGTGTTAGATAGGGAATTTTTCAGTGTACCATTTTAATGCCCTTGTCATTTGTTTTACTATATTTTTGAATTATTATCTTAGTGGCTTCCCTGGTAATTGCAATTAACATCTTAATGTATAAAAATAAAACTAGTTCAGATTGATACCAAGTTATTTTCAATAATCTACAATAACTTTTCTCCTATATATTTTTGTCTCCCCATACTATTATTTTTTTTTTACAAATTATACCTTTATTATCTTGTGTGTTTATTGTTACAATTATTACAAATTTGGCTTTATACAGTTGTATTTTAAATCAGATAGAAAATAGGAGTTATAGATAAAAATATATTTATGCTGTTTTTAATTTTTCTAGATATAAAATTTTTCTTGATTGATAGGTTTTTTTTCTTTCAGCACTTTACATATATTATCCTACTAGCTTTGGCTTTTGTGGTCTCTGATAAGAAATCAGCTGCTATGCCCTAGTCCAGTGATGGCGAACCTATGACACGCGTGTCAGAGGTGACATGCGAACTCATTTTTTTGGTTGATTTTTCTTTGTTAAATGGCATTTAAATATATAAAATAAATATCAAAAATATAAGTCTTTGTTTTACTATGGTGGCAAATATCAAAAAAATTTCTATATGTGACACGGCACCAGAGAGAGTTAAGTTAGGGTTTTTCAAAATGCTGACACGCCGAGCTCAAAAGGTTCGCCATCACTGCCCTAGTCTGTTTTCCCCAGATAAATTCAAGGAGAAAATAGTGACTGTGCCTAGGATGGAGAGATTCTGGCTCTCTGAAGCCGCCGTTGTGGGGAGTAATGGAGACAAGGGGCCCGTATTATGTCAGAGAGGTGAGTCATAGCCTGTTTTACTGTAAGCTGGCAATAGACTCCCTATCACTTGTGGTTTGGAGGAGTTATTGTGGCTCAGAAGGTAGAATGTGAATTGACCATCCATTGAATATTTTCAGTCAGTCTCATTGGTTCTGTGGTTCTTAGAAACTTCCCCCTAAACTCTTATCTTTGGTTTCCAGTGTTGTATTTTTTTTCCCCTCTACTTTCACATCTTCATGATTATTTTAACGGAGACTTGGAAGAGACAAAATGAAGCATTATCTTTTAACAATGCTTCTAACTTCTTGAGTGGCATTTACACTACAGATAAGCAATGAAGTATGGAAAAGCATGGAGAAAATTACCGTGATAAGAAACTAGAATATGGCTCCCCATGAAAAGCTGTCTCTCCTTTGTGGAGTGGCAGAGAGGAAGTTTGCCAGGAAGCTTCTGGGTACTAATCTCTATAGCCATATAAATCTCTTAGAGTTGAGCTAAAATACATTTGGAAACTAAGAAACAGCCATAGAAAGCCAGAAGTCATCCCAATAATCAAGTTGTATTGTGAAGGTCTCATATATCACATCAGTTCTTACACTAAAGGTTTTTATCCTGACAAGTGGGTAGAAATGGATTCGCATGGCCTTTAATATGTGCCAGGTGGTGATATGTAGTTATAGTAAGGACACTTGGGAAATGGCTCAGCACTCACTCTCATAAAAATTCTGAAGTTTCCGAACTTGCAGATAGAGGTAGGGATAGTCGTCTTGCCAAAATGACTCAACCAAAGAAATGTAACTTTTTTTTGTTTAACCTCTGGGAAAGGAGTTCAAAGCATATTTTATTCTAAAAGTCAAGCAAAGAAAATTGGCTCGCCTGATATTTGATTTTATACTTCTCAGGCAAGATAAACTATCCTTTTGTGTGGGCTGATATTGACGCTCTTCCTTGCCAACATTCTCTTTGAGTTTAATAGGACAGATTACCTTGGAGCTTCCTGGAGTCAAAACAACTAACCAGCAGAGATTGCTGAAGTCCTGAGCGGCAAGATCTTCCAGAAATCAGAGAAAACTCAAGAGCAAAACCGCATGAGTTCAACTTGATTTCAACCCTCATATTTCCTGGAAATCATTTATGAAAGCCTAGGTTTGGCAATGAATCTATTAAATAATTGAGCTAAGGTCAAGATGAAGCAATGTGTAGGGAGGGGTGGTGGCATCATGGCTGAGAATGTGATTGACAAGCTACTTAGGTGCACACATTGTAAGAGGGCTTAAACAAGTCTGTGCCGACCATTCCTAGGAGTTGAGCAGAGAAGGGCTCTTAGGGTGGTATTCTAGTCAGTGGCTACAAAGGCAACAGTGGCAAAACCAGCAGCAGGGTTTCTAGCAATGCAGGCAACTGAGGCACCATATTCTGTCTCCATGAAACCAGCCTGTTTACCCTCTCAAAGATGGCTTTGATTTCATTCCTACCTCCCAGCCTGCCACAGGCAGGAAACTCCATCATTTCCTCAGACTGATGCTGGGTCTATGTGACACCGAAGAACTGGAAGGCACGTGAGCAACTTACTTGAACACTGGGTACAGGTATGTCCAACATTTGAACAGTGATACTTGTCCAGGACAGGCTAACGCTCTCGCCCTTGCCACAAGGGGAGGAGGAAGAAACAAATGGATCTGAAAGTTTTGAAAACACAGGTTTTAATCCACTCATCTGCTGATGGGCACTTAGGCTGTTTCCAAATCTTAGCTATTGTAAATTGTGCTGCTATGGACATAGGGGTGCATATATCCTTTCTGATTGGTGTTTCTAGTTTCTTGGGATATTTTCCTAGAAGTGGGATCACTGGGTCAAATGGGAGTTCCATTATAGTTTTTTGAGGAAACTCCATACTGTTCTCCACAGTGGCTGCACCAGTCTGCATTCTCACCAGCAGTGCATGAGGGTTCCTTTTTCTCCGCATCCTTGCCAGCACTTGTCGTTTGTTGATAATAGCCATTTTGACAGTGATGGGGGGATAAGGACACATATGTAATACCTTAATCAATCAATCAATACAAAAAAAGGTTTGAAAACAAACTTCTCTAGTTGGGTGCCTTTTCTTCTATCTTATAGGGGCAAACAGCCTGACCTACCCTTCCTTC